TCTCGAGCTATTTGGACGTGTTGTGTGTGGCATTGTTGTGTCTGTTTATTGACATTGTTGCGTTCGTAGACATTGTTGTATCATTATCGCCGTCAACAATCCGCTTTCGTTATTTAGGAAAGAACTGAGCTGTGAATCGCTTGTAGAAGGAGTGCGTCGTGGACTAGATAACTTTGTGCTGGTAGAAACGTTTCAGAATGTGCGCAACACAGGGAGTGGGATCTTAAAGAAAATATACCACCACAAAAGGCACAGCTATAAGTGAATATGGGCTATGTCGATGCCAGACTCACATTAGTAAACACAACAAACACGCACTCGCGAAGGCATCCTCATATTTCATCTGCTTAATATCAATGAGTGGGATAGGCGCCCGGCCTTATCGGTCTAATTGAATCGACTTGGAAAGGGGGAAGCGTTTAATCCAATTGGACGAGTGACAGAGGTAAAGGCGGACGGATCACTTTGTTTCTCTGATGGGCTGCATGTACACAAATTAATGTTTACAACAATAGATAATCAAACAGATCTGAAGAATCTGTTTAGAAGAGCATCATCAGAGAGACTTGTGGAACAGCGATATCGTGGACAGTGCATGTGAAATGGCTTGCGATTTCAGTTGCTTGTTCAACCGTGGATGTTGATCAGTGAACAAGTCTTTTAATTGGGATAGTCGTTGGTTCGGAGCGGAGCTAAGTCCGGCTCAAGGAGAATTAGAGGTATCTTTCCAACTCCCAAAACACAAGTGCAACTGAGAAAGAATTTATTAAAATACGTAGATGATGTAGTGCCTAGTAGCACTCTCAAGAATTCACTGCATCAAGCGATTCAAAGTTACAAAATAGTCCCTCATTACTTCCATCATGAGTATTTATAGTGCTCGTCTTAGGCGCTGGTCAAAGGAGTGGGGCCATAACAGCCCGCACGCGGTGGCGAAACACGAGAGTTGAACAAAGACATAGTGTTCCAGGGACGTGCACACTTTTAGATCAAGCGGCCTCTGTTCCATTTGATTACTAATCGCCTATGAATCGAGCCACCTAATGTTGTCATAATAATATTTACACTTTCAATTATACATGTCTCTTATTACAAGTGACTGGCTTACTGTCACTTTCAAAAAACTGTGTAATTCGTGTCTGTTAATGTATGAAATGTGTTATGGTAATTGCACATAATCGAGGAACATTCATATTGATCAGTGACAGGATAATTTTGTTACTATAGAAATTTTAAAAAAAACATAAGAACACCCTTGCCGTTGAATAGTGCATTTTAGGTTTACGAGCTGCATAAACTATCTTGCCGGAATTCGAAACCAGGTCACACTATTTCGGATTGTGATATTCGTTTCTGTGATCTCCTCGTCGAAACAAACAACTTCTTTCGTCATACTTAGCTTCCGATCTACAAAAACCACCCTCACTGGGCTTTAACCCAGGAAATTTTTGGGAGTTAGACTTTTCTTAAAATCTCCTCCTAGTTTCTTGGCATAAATAAGCAAAGTCTCGGTTAAATTAGCATAATCCTCGAGATGTAATGGAGCATAGTACACCCACAATTTCAATTTAATTTAAAAGATTATTTATTCTTCCGAATGCCCTAGTTTCCTAAATAATTTAACTGTGTATCAGTTATGTATACATTGTTGTAATGAGCCAGTTGGGCTTATCCTTCCCATGTGAAATCAACGGGTGGTTGCTTTTTAAGTCACTTCGGTTGCTTGTTTTTCACTTTGGTTAAGCATTCTCAAATCGTAGCCCGGATAGGTTCTGTAACCGTGATGAGCAACCTTGTTGTAATGCACAAGGTTTATCTAAGAAAGCTTGGAACGTTGGAAAGTAAAATCGATATACAGACTTTGCACGAGAATGATGGAAATTTATAAGGTGATTAGTAAAAAGAGTTTTCCACTGTAAATTGTGGTCTACTTTTGCGTGTTTCATTTGCCAACTAGAGAGTTATTTTACACCTGATACTGTAGTTTACTTTATTTATGTCGAAAATTTCAAGACAGTATTGATTTTTCAAGTAACACACAGTGATTATGTTTCAGATATTCCGATAGCGAGTCTGCAGTTGGGTTCATCCCTCAACCCCGACACTAGTCGAGAGGGTACGGATGTGTATTTCGACTGCCTGATACAGGCCCAGCCGCCGGTTTACAAAGTGGAATGTTGTCACAATGTGAGTACTTGAAGAGCATCACAGCGAATTATTTTCACATCTCTGCAAGGAACGCCAAATGAAGTCTCCAGGTTGTAATTGGGAAGCAATATGATCTAACGTGAAAATAACGTGATCGATAGAATGAAGTAACACACTTTTAAGAAAACTAATCTTCATGAACAATTCAATATTTGCGGAGATTAATGATTCATTATACGAATACGATGTTGGGACATTATTAACATTGTTTGAGGTATACCTGAGCATAAACGACTTTTATAGAGTTGAGTAGAATCCAACAGAGCATGCAGATGTCGAGGTATTTGATGTTGGCCTTCTGGGTTGTAACGCCGCGTGGACTTGTAGGCAGATACCAACGTTTTGAGGAACATACTGGCTCCACTCTCAGGAGGCACGGCCTAGCACAAAATCTTGTTAATAATGGCGTTAGTGTTTTTTTTACAAACTGAAAATTCACTACTGATTTAACACATATATGTTTATATGACTACCTTATTGGGCTAGATACATTTCCGTAGGTCTAGCATTCCGACCAATAAATGAGTATTTAAATAAATACGTGGGCTCTTAACGTTGCAGATATAGCATAAAGTATAAACATGTGTGTCATATTAATAGTAGCTTTCTGTGTACGTATCTACACGTGGTGATGTACGCAACGTTCGACACTTGTAGTAGATTTGTAAGAGCGCGTTGTGTTGAAGGTATTTTGTTTTATATGAACTAACCCAGACTCATTACGGCATTTCCTGCTGTGCTGCATTCTTTAAGGCAGGCGAAACGGCTAATATACGGTGATAGTAGCAAATAAAAGAAGTGACCTTGAGGCCCACCATATAGCATTTCTCTCGCCTCGCCATCAATCATGATCACACGCAGCGTCTGTTGCCGTGGCGACATGACACCCAATAAATTGAAGGCAGATAAATACACGGGACGGACGCATTTTAGATTGGCAGTTAATTTCAAGAGGCTTTAGGTTTAACAAATCGTTCTAACAAGGTTAATAAGCTTTGGGAATGAACACCCTTAGCTGAGAGATTTCAAGTTTTTACTTCGATTGATATGCTCATAGATTCTGAGGGTGATCGGCCTGATGATGGATGCAGCAAGCACATCTGAAACGTCGGTCAGTTTCTACTAGGCTACAAGGCGCAATATGCAAGAATCATCACTAACCAGAGCCTTGTCCTTCAGGGTGTTAGCAGAACCAGCGCCGGAAACTATACGTGTGTGGGCTACACCACGGAGAGGGACGGTGAAAGCAGTTACTTCTATCTCAACGTGATGTGTCAGTTGCATCACGATATTTAAGGAGTGAGACTCCTGAATACATACCAGATTCCATGGAAAATTGTAATTTGGCAGATGGGCAAAATTTTATAAACCAGTGCTGTCATTTTACGAATAGTCAATTGTTTTACAAACGTAAGCGTGCGGGGTGTGCAGACGCTCCGACGTGCAAGGCGAACCAGACGCGGGTCCACGAAGTCGCGAAGTAGGAGAAGGCCAATCCGCCAGACGTTCATTTCCGGTGGACGTTCAATAACTCTGCGGAGAGCCTGGACGTGGCTTCGGCCCACATCGCTCGGTCCGGCACCTCCAGCGTCGTGACGTACACTCCTTTGACTGAGCTCGACTATGGAACTCTGCTGTGCTGGGCCTCCGATCGCATCGGCAGCCAGCGTGTGCCTTGCTTCTTTCACATTATCGCAGCAGGTCAGTTGCTGTTCTTAAGCATTATTTTATTATCTAGTTAACGTCATAAAATTAATTTAATTTTAATGTTTTGCTCCTCTTAGAAGATCGGCTTTTGAGGAGGTTCGTTTCCACTTATGATTATTACCGGTCATTAAAATTAGCAAATACGTTCTGTCTTAAAGATAGGTATGAACGATTATTGGAGCGAAATGCGAAAACTTGTTTGAGTCTGCGTTTTAACTACGAACTGTGGCAGTTAACGGGTTCGCCGTGATCTTGCGGCAACTTCTCCGACACCTTCGTACTGCAGAGCAGTCTGAACAACTGCTGGCAGGCGTTACATTAAGAAACAAGAGCTGAACTTTCAAAATAAGCAAACCTTTATTTTCGGATTATCATCTATTGGTATCTATACAATCATAATTACCCACTATAAAGGTCAGAGGTAAAATTTACCTTCAGGGCAAGAAAGGAAAGTTAATACATCGTACTAACATCAGGTTTGATAGAGATATAATGATTTAGACCGCAACAGTATTAGCTGTTTAATTATGTAAATTCTGCACAAATATGTAAACTTGCCTGTATTGTACACGGTGATAGTCTCCCCGCTGCTGAATGTTGTTAATATCCATTTAGTTACATTGTTAGTGACTTTTTAATCTTGCGGTGATAGTCTCCCCGCTGCTGAATGTTGTTATAATTAGTTTGTGTAACTTCATTAACATTTTTCAGTAGTCATCTGCTCACGTATATCGTAATTGTTCTTCTGGTAAAATGTTTTATGCCTGAATTGAAGATCTTGTTGTTTTATTAGACAATAAACTATTTTTTCACTGTCATGTAAATTGTGTTCATTCTCAGACGTGTGTGTGTGTCTTGTGGAAATGTACGTGAACCAAATAGGAACCTAATAAGTTAGGATGAAATTACGTGTTCAGTTGTTGGGTTCTAAAAGCAGGAGCGCTGTATGTGAGACTTCATTGTGACAGCATTTGGAATCAGAAAGAGAGAAAATTATGATTTCCATCTCAGTCTCCTTTAAAGAGGTGGATGAGCCAGCCTCAGAAGCAAATCCATTGCCGTTGTTAGTAGCTTTGTAAATTCGTGTCACGTGGCTTTCTTTGCTGACCTCATACCACGAGACTGAGTCCTAAGATATTGTCCGGCATTATTTCTTGAGATTTCTTCGAGTAATTAATTAATTAGTACTCCCAGCGAGTCGAAGGTCAAGTCCAGTAGCAGCGTTGCTGCCTACCAGCCTCTTGCCACGCGGTATGAGGTGGTAATTCCCCAACCTTGATGGATGGTTATACCGCCATGACTGGTTTACTGCAATTTAAAAATAAGGAGCCATTTAAGTCTCCATTGTGAGAGGAATTAGAAACAACACGAGATAATTAGGATTTCAGTCGCACATTCCTTTCTTGAAAAGAGAGACCTGTCAACATCAGAAGCAAATATATTACAATTGTCTACACGTGGCTCTTCTGAAACATTTTCTCTGGCCCAGGGGCGATGTGCTCAACAGCGCCCATTAAAGTAAAGTTAAAGTAAAGTTTGTCCTCTTCCCTTATGGACACTAAGTAATTCGGTGGCAAACTGCCTGGCACAATTCGGCCTTTATATAATTAAAATTGAACCAAATTCGGTAACTACCAAAATTTATAACAAATTTGATAAAATATATTGGAACTGCATACATCGGCAGAGGCGAGGTGAAGAAGTGTACTTGTGTGATTTAGTAAGTAATATAGACAGTGTGAACACTGGAGCTACCCTGAGCACTCAACAGCGCCCATTACTTCGAAAAATCAAGTTTAAAATCAATCAAGCAAAATAAAACCCGATGTTATTTTAAAGAAGGCCAAATTAATTAGCAATTTTATATTCACTCCTCGTTATGTTTAAATTGATTTCATTCTTATAGAGAAAACATATCATATTAAGAATTCATTTTGCTTACATTTAGGATGAAATGTGACCAAATTCGAGTAATTCTCTTTGTATTTTTTTCAACTACCAACAATGTGTAAATATGGACCGCCAATCGCCAGCCTTTATGTGAACACCTGTGTGCATAACAATGCAATAAAATATTGAAAGGAAATTTTCCAGTTTGTGCAATTACCGGCGCCTGCAACAGTGTTGGAAGAACGGGTCGTCCAAATATCCAAGTAAGTATTATGACAAAGTTAATTGACTTAATTACATCTGTTATAATTAACCGCACGCAAGTATTTAAAGACGCAAGAGGAGAAAAGAGAATAACGCGTACAAATATAATGTTAAAATCGTCGCAAAAGCAGTGGTTCGTACACTCGCAAAGAACGCCTGAGCACGCGTGCCCAGGATCTCCTGTCGGTGCAACCCGAAGGGCGGGAGACGCCAAAGGACGTCAGACAAAACGAAGGAACAGTCTTAATGCTTGAAAGACGAACAGGCCAAGAGAGTAATACGCGACGCTGATGATCATGCAACCGAGGGCACATACTCAATTAGGAAAATGATCTAGCTTGGGTATAACATTGTACATGTATGTGTTTAGATAATCTGGCTGTGTAATATTTTTTATTTCATTATTATTGTATGTATTACTGACTACATGGAACAGGAATCCTGAGACGCTAGTGGTCGCTCAGCTGGTCAAATATCCCACCTCTTAAACGCAAAAACCCAAATTATATTACAGTCCTCAAAAGTGACCGTAATTGGTTAATGTCTTCAGCCAGATAAATCCAGTTCACACATTATTCCTCTAAGATCCGTTTTAATATTATATTCATATCTATGCCAAGGTAATGCGTTGTTCTTGTTCTTATTACTCACGCCTTGGCCCGTTAAGTCGTCATCTGATCTGCCTTTTCTAATCCGAGGGAAGTGTGCCCCCCTTCCTCCGCAAGGTTAACTAAGCAGTTCTTGGCGTATGGACATGGCATTTCTGTCCGAGGTCTTCTGACGATTCCATTTACACCAAGGAGTAATACAGTCGCACAGACAGAACTTTGACCCCAGATCACAAGAACAGTTGAAGTCGGCAGAATAAAGAACGCAAAGATTTCCTGCACGCAACTTATTTTAAGAGACTGAAAACCTCGTTCAGAATCAGTTTGTTCGTTGCATATAATTTGTATCTCCTAAGTGACTGGATAAATTTGGCTCAGATTCAGAAAATGGTCTCTGGAAAACGCGGTAATGAAACTTGGGTTTTCATAGGGGCTGGTAACTGACAGTTTGAGCGTGTATTAACTTTTATGAAGGACTGTATTTTTCGAACTTGGGCGTGTCTCGTCAAGTTAAGCGAATCACAGTCCTCGATGTGGAACAGATTTAACGAGTCTAAGGATAAAAAGAGTGAATATGGAGTCTGTGTCAGTGATTAGCTCCTATAATAACAGAATTTATGGTCGTGTTCCTGTTTGCAGGTTGCCTATACAGGATCGTAATAAATATTTCCATTCCTGTTTGATTGTAGTAAAATTGAGTGTCACCTTTTACTCCCTGTCTGGGGATTTTTCGGGAATGTGGAGCGTCTCCTGCTGGCCCAAACAAAACATCCCTTAGCAGGTAAGAGGGAAGGTAAATTTGTTTCTTGCTGTCTGTACTGCTGTATAAGGGCAACTGTATTTCCTGTTCAAGCTCACTGACTTCTTTCGCGATTCCCTACCCGAAGTTTGGCTTTCGTGTGGCTGAATTAAGGGTCCACTCGTTTTGCTGTGATGGTTGCAGAGGGGAAGTCCTTTCAGGAGGGAAAGCGAAGGACTTTGACAGGACACAGGAATCACTTGCACAAACGAGAGTTTCTTCGTACACATTGAGAGGCTCGTCACGTTTTGTTGGGTTTGAATCTCGGCTCGAGTGCTTGCTGCCCTGACAGAGGGTCTATTGATTTTGTCAGCACTTCTCAGGCGATAGTTTTGATAATGTGATTAAAAGTCACAGGGCGCATCGTCCCCTTTTCTTCGGCCTTAAATAAGATCTGTAACTTACGCATTATTCAAGCTCGATACGTTGATGATGTTACACGGGCGATTAGTCGTCTCCGTTCGACGAAATGCGTCGGACCCGAGAAAATCCCGACTTTCATTATAAAAGGTTGTGCTGAGATATCAACTCCTCTTTTACGTCATATTTTCAACCTTAGTTTACTTAGTGGGAATTTCCTTTGTTGTGGAAGCAAGCGGCTTTTGTGCCGAATTTTAAGAAAGGCAACAGCGCCTTAGTTTCTAACTACAGGCCTAATAACCACTCCAAAAATTTTGAAAGTATTTTATTTCAAATTCAAATTACACCCCAGTCAGCATGGTTTTTGTAAATCGAAATCTACGGTAACTAATTTAGTTACCTACCTAAATGATGTTCAGCCGTCTCTTTGTTCAAAGGGACAGGTGGACTCGGTGTATTTTGATCTTAGGCAGGCCTTTGATTCAGTCCCGCATTCTATTCTTTTGAAAAAGCTTAATAACTTTGGACTATCTTCTCCTTATATCAAGTAGTTCCAAAGTTATTTATCAACCAGATCTGCCTTTGTTCGCATTTTAGGACAGTCTTCTTTTCACTCGATATTATCTGGAGTTCCGCAAGGCTCTACCTTGGGACCTCTCTTTTTTAATATTTTTATTAACGACCTTTGTGACAAAATTAAGTATTCTAAATTTCTCTTATTTGCTGATGACTTGAAACTATATCGTGATATTAAATCTGTGGATGACTGCATAGTTCTTCAAGTAGAAATTGATTCCGCACATCAGTGGTGTGATGATAACAATATGGAACATCATATAGAGAAAACCAAAATTATATCGTTCACACGTAAAACCAACAATATCCATTTAGTTACATTGTTAGTGACTTTTTAATCTTGTGTACTAATTGTATAAAAGATCTTGTTGTTTTATTAGACAATAAACTATTTTTTCACTGTCATGTAAATTGTGTTCATTCTCAGACACTAAGGACCTGTAGTCGTCCGAACCCTCAGCTGATAAGGTTTTGTTTACTTTATATTAGTTTAATGTATCTTATTCATAAGTTAGTTGATCTATTGGCAACATGTTATTGAAAACATGCCCCCGTAGCACATCTGTTGGTGAGGACAAAAGAAGCTACCTTAACGGAAGGCCTCTTTTGTTCAATTGCCTAGGAATGCTACGGCGCTACACTACGGAACCCACTTTGTGTGGCATTTCGCTTAAGAGCTAATTCCTGTTGTTAAATCTTAAGGTAAGGCAAAGTCTAAGGACACTACCTAATAACAGGGTTGTCCGATGGCCTTTGAGACCCCTTTGTTACAAAATTTAGGCGTGGGTCCCAAAATTAGGGGATCCAATCAAAAGCAAGGATGTGCTGTAGGTACCCCTGGTTTTGGAGAGCCGAGGGTCTTAGTCGGGTGTGCAGATGCTTCTTGGATCTTCCCTTTTTGGACATCAAGTAAGTCGGTGGCAAACTGTTCAGCCACAATTCGGCCTTTATATTGGAAATTGTACTAATTTCGATAACTATCAAAATTTATAACAAATTTGATGAAATATATTGGAACTGCATACATCGGCAAAGGCGAAGTGTACTTGTGTGATTTAGTAAGT